GAGGAAACAGATAGATGCCGTCCGTGACGGAGATTAACATTATACACATTTATTTCGACCTTTTCCTTCATTGATAATTTCCAACGAAGCTGTATGATAAGCATGATGATTTCAATATCTCTATTTTGAATTTTCCATTTCTGGATAGCAATAACCAAAGGAATGTTCTCATTATCACGGATTTCGTGCAAGAAAACGTTATTTGTGGGGAAAACTCGTGAAAGTGTGAAGATAGTCACTGTGATCCCAATAAGAAATGTTCTTTTTCTATGTGCTATATTAACCTGGATGTGTTTGATGATCGATAGTTTGCCTTTTGGTTCCGTTGATTCTATACATTGTTTTTATTTGCAAACTTACTTGGATTGATCAAGATTAACATGGCTGGTGTCGTCGATGAAGCAAAAGACGTTTACTCTTGCGGAACACCTGGTCTAATTCTCCAGTTCACATTTTGCCCGTTTTGTTGAATTTGAGATTATGATCATGTTGGCAGGTTGTTTTATTTATTTATTTTCAATTTTAAGCAAGAATCTTGGTGTATGCATATGTCATAACAACATGATTAGCATGTTTATTGCCCTTTATTGAAATTTCGTGTGAGGAGAAGGTACTAAGTTGCCTCTAAACTCGGATATTGGAACTTAGTTTATGCATTCATCATACAAAGACTATATGTAGTGTATAATATACATGGCCGCAAACCCCCTCATTTAATGTTAAGATTTCGTGTCCTAAAAGGTTGTTTTCTGGGAGAGTTCATCAGATTCAGTGATACTCTTGTTGTTGTCTTTTGAATGTCTTAGAATGCGAATAAAACAGACAATTAGCTGCTTGATGTACAATATACAAGGTTAAATATCCTTTTGATACTTGCGTAACATTTTTGGTTGGTTGGTTGGTTGTTCCATGTACAATCGTTGTAAAGGTAATTTAATTTGCAATTGAAACAAAATCATTTAAGTATACAGAAAACAACCAGGCGTTTGACATTCTTAATCAAAAGTATATTTACGCAAGCTGCAATTGAAAAACTAAGCATCAGTATTAAATATGTCAAATTATGATAGTGTAACGAAATTGGTTAAACATGTAAACATGTAATACTTGCAATGTCACTACTCTCGTACTGAAAGAAATGACACGAAAAGAACCAGAGAAATGGAAAATAAATATGTTATAAACGGTATTAATCATTAAGATGCACAAAAACATCACAGGTCTGCCGGGTATGTTTATCTATATAGAAATGCTTCTCCTATATATCAACCTTTGTTACTTACATGCTAAGTAATCTCATTCAACGTCAGCCCTATATCAGTACATGTGTTTTCAATAACATAGTGGAACATCTGACGTGATCTTCCGCTACCTTTGATTATATTCCGTAACTATGAGCAATTTTTCTATGTGTTAATGCTAACCAAAGTGAAAGATGATACAATATAAATTTGTTTTACCAAAGAAAATGAGATCGCACCGACTTGACATCATCGGTGATTGACAGAAGACGTGTTCCAATTCAATCTTCATCACCTACGCGCGTTTCCCTGGAATAAATACGGTATTTTCGTATGCTAGCACGCGGATCCCTAACTCGATGTTATGGATTAAGATTAAGCTACCAAAGCATGTGAATGCTTGTGGAGACATGTCCCCTCTTTGTTGGAGGTGACAGATTTACAGATTCTTGACCTTTTGTCTACAATTAAACGAATAGGATATGAAGTGCTGTATACGGATTGTACTTCAACGTTATACGAAATAATCCATGCATGGTTGTGATATCGATACCATTGTTGAGAAAGGGATGTAATGCGTTAGTATTGTACAAACTGTTGCTGTAGATATCGATAGCAAAAGCTTCGAACTTCATTCCTTAAACTGCTATTTGACATACCTTTACCACTGGTATTAAATGAATGACGTTAAAAACTGCGCGGCAAAATAATCTCTTCATCCTAACGAATTTGCCTTAATGCAATTGAAAGCAATTGAGGTCTTTCGCTTTTTTTTTGACAGCCCATCAACTCATTTAATTCGTTTAGGGCCACACAGTAATATTTAATCTTTAAAAACATTGGTAGTAATCACATTATTGAAAGGATAGAAGCATATCACATTGCATCAGTCAGTCAACCGAACGATATGCTCAGCTTTTCTGGCAAACTTGCACTTCACATGCGTTTGACCTTTTTAACGTCAAATACGAAACGAACTGAAATGTTTAACTTGTTTACATTAACGCGTTAAAATGCTAATGGGTCATAAAACATGATATGATATGTATGCGTAATGGGATTACACACCTGTATTGATACTCGTCTTAATTGTCCAGCAACAACACGGTCATCTTTGGAAAAAGTTCAAATAGTGTAATAGCATGTTGCAAAAACACAACCACAAGCAAATACCTTGGTGAGCTTTGTCTGCTTGGGCAGGGGAGGGGGGTGGGGACGGTGGTGAGTGTGAGGAGTGGAGCTTCCTTGCTTTAAGTTTAGCCAGGGTAATTTGAATACGATACGAGATACGAAATCAACGGAGGATTAGGCTACTAGGAAGTTCGGCGAATTTAGTTCCGGGTTTAGTCTACTAATGAAGACAGAATATGCTGTATATTAGTTACGGTCCTTTCTACATCATATACTGACATGTAATCATTATGGTTTGGAATTCGTTTTGTAACCGTATTAAAATCAGTAAAGCTATGAATTCCATCAGGATTTAATCTTGCATCTTTTTACTTTTTTGTAGAAACACGAATATTTGTAACCATTATTTGCATTTAGAAATATCAAATCATCAATAGATATACAGAATATAATTGTTATATGTTAATTTGTGTTTGTTCGTGTTTCTTAATCCCATCACACGCATGATAAAACATAAAACGACAACGATTCTGTTTCTTATTTCATTTTGATAATTTCATGCATTTCTTCCTGTTTCCTGATCAACCATTTTGATGGGAAATGGTACAAATATCTTGTATGATATTATGTGTAAAATATTTTGTTGAATTGTCTATTATACCGATAAAACGATGTATTGTATTTGTTAAATCCAGATCAATGGAAATTCGTCACGTTCTCTTTGGGAATATTTAAATTGTTATCATCAAGGTTTATAAATACACGGGAAAAGTTTAATGCTTATAACCTTCATCAGCCGAAATACACGGTATCGTCCCGGATTTCTGTGCTGCCTTTACTTAAGATATTGCAATTCAACCTGTGGCCGCTCTCTCTGATTAACCATTGCTGCCGGCTTCTCTGTTCTCAGCCTACGCTTTAACAAAAGCACTGCTCTACTCGTATAAAATACAATATCAGCTGTATGATGTGACTCGAATCTTAATACAGGTGAATGCGGGAATCCTAAGGCGGTACAGTGTTTAACTCCAATTATAGCTTCGCGTGGTCTTGTATTTATAAAAAAAATCATAATGCCCCTGAATGATAAAAACCCAATTACAATATTGATTGCGATAATTGAGAACATCATATATAATAAATTACTTACAGGTGTGTTCTCTATTCTTGATAACTCACGAACACTTACACGTTCATTGGATTTTTTATGTGTAAGAAATCAAAGCCAAATCGACTCCGAGACAATTTCAATCCTAACAATGATACACACATAAGCAACAGATACATACACTGTACTTGATCTGTTATCTCAAAACGTAAATTTAACTCCTTCTGGTGACATAGCTCAAAGTCGTTCTTTTCTCTCCTTCTGCACATTCTTTCAAAGACATGCTTAGATATTAGAAATGATTTGTTTGTGTTTTATAAACACGGAATAAAAGCTGAGAATGCATTTTATTTAGTGACAACAAAATCAGTGCGGAGGACTTTCCACACAATAATTAATGAACGATTGTTAAACAAAATTTTGAAAAGTGCTTCGAAATGTGAAATTCATAATAGATAAAATGGCTTAACAAGCGACATAGCAACGATGAGGATATAGCGTGCCAGCCCTGAAATCAAGACTGACGCTAATGACCTGTGTCATTGATGTCGGACGTTACATATTTGTATAGCACATGTGATGGCTGGCATTCGGAGATAATTAGAAACCAATTACATTGTGATGATTTTGCCAAAAATTTCTATTCTAGAACAGTTTTTTTTTTCTATTATGTATATTAGACAGGCGACATATGATATTTAGATACAAGATATCAGGTAATTAATTGTGGTGGTTGATAACGGTATTGGTTTCCTGTGGTGCGTGTAACAAAAACGTATGTCTCAGATAGGATGAAAAATAATATGTAGACTTGATAACATGTTCCGCCATCATTATCGTTAGGAAGTTAATCACCATCCCGTTATTTTCTTGTGACGTCACTGATTAGTTCCTTACCATCGATTAACGGCATGGCAATAGGTGCAATGGAAAATTAATTAGTTCATTGAAACTGCGCTTTCATGCTCTTCCACTCACGGATAATTGACATTTTTCAACATTTTTATACATTTATAATGTTTAGCTGTATCTGTAACACTAGCGTCTTGTCTCTCTACAAAATGCCACTTTTACAGACACTCTAATGATAAGCATGCCTCAGCTCTGGCATGATTGACAACTTCCTGTCATGTTTCGCTCTTCGTTATCATTAAATCTTAAGATATGTCATTTTAGCTTTGTACGTTAAGCTGTGTTGTCATGACGACAAATTATTGTTTACAAATTGGAAGTCAAGTCAAAATGACAAAGCTCACAAGATCCTCTCTACCCTTTCGACTAAACTTCACCGCCTAGCATTTATCTTTTTTTTTTAAACTTAACGTGAAGTTAACGATGGAGTTTCTTAGAATATTTTATTACATTTAATTTTTTAAAACAAAAAAATGGAAAATAAAACAAAAAATAAACACATTTTTAAATAGGAATGTTGACTTTTTTGTCGCAAGATAGATCCGAATAAGTAAATAATTTGTTACAGAACATCTTTTGTTTGTTAGTGATTAGTAAACAATACTTACACCGCAATCAGGCGGGTTCGTGTTGTACCATAAGCGTCCAGGAAAATCCCAAGTGGTAAAAGAAGTCCATGTCGAATGATCATTACAATTGCATTCACTATCTCTAGTCGTTCTTCTTGTTCGTCACAGAAATATCTAGAGTCATTGAGAGGAAAGGAGTCATACATTTCATACATTGGTTCCGAGGGTGATGGTGTTGTTGTACGCCATTTTTTTCTCGGGCGGCACTTCCGGCGGGCTTTGTTTTTGTTAATATTTGTTCGTATTATCGGCGTCTCTAGCTCGGTAAGCATATCCGTATTTAAAACTGAGTTTGGTAAAATCTCTGGATTTTCATCTTCTAGTGTTATATTACATAGATCTAAAAAATAACGGTCTCTACGAAGAGTAACAGACAGCCATGGCCATCCGAAAACAATCCCGGTGAAGAATAAGCACTCCATCATAGCCCAAATCAGTGTCAGATGGCGCTTGTTGAATGAACAGTGGACCATCGTGAATGCACGTGTGACAACTAACCGCGACACTAAAATAAGATAAGTAGTTACTGACGTATAACCTTAAGTTGTATATGGAAACTTATACTATTTGTTAATGAAATGTATACGTGCTCTAAAATTTGAACAAAAAATTTAACTGCTATACCGAGAGGTTTTCACTCTCTATCATACCAAATAATTATCCCGTATCTTCCAGTATGTGCTAATCACAATCCTGTCCGAACCGCGCGTAACAGAGCTCCAGAATGTTGTAGAGCACGGCTTCCACTGTCTATTGTCTAAGTCGTAGCTGATTCGATTGATATTTGCGTTGTGTCTAATAGACACTCCAACGGGCGCCTGGTTACTAAACGTCACACGAAAGCACGGAGGAGTGACCAAAACAGCACGCCTAATATCATCACTAGTTACTGGTGTGTGAGAGTTTATCCTAAGGCTTTATAACAACCTTATTCTGAACACATTCACAAAAGTGGTTTCACTATAATATGTTGATAAGATGTTTTCTTATAAACGTGAAAAAATTTTTTTTTAAAGTCCGTTAGAATGAAAAAACAGGTTCCTTACTCATGTAAAATGTATTGCCTATATAAAAATGTATTTCAGAATTGCTGAGAGCATTCCGGAAAGATTCCAGACTCGGTGTCAGGAAGATTTATATTTTTGCCTGGGATAAACCGACAATAAATATAGTATTTATTGTGACAAAAGAGTGCATCGTGTCATCCGTCCATTAACAGATGTCTCGTGACAAGGATTAAACTGATATTTAGCTGGTGATGATTGCACCACACGGAGAGATTGGTCGGTGACAGAAATGATTAACCATACGGAAAAGATGACGTTTTTATTGTATAAATCATTATTAGTAAAAGTAGATAAAAGATAGTTCTTTTATGTACTGATAAATACTGTATTTTAATCGTTACGCAATCAGAACCTCGTAGTAAATGTCATAATAGTTAGTAATTTTGATAATCAAGTTCGTTCAAATTGTACAGACTATATATGACAAACTTCCAAACGTACTGCCATTGAGAGGCGTCTTAGCTGTACAGAACGACTATTCAACGAGTCGGTCCATGTCAGTCTCCATACGAGTGATCAATTTGTTTATACAATTATTATTAGAGCTCGAAGAACAACCTTATCACCCATACTTGACATTTTGAACATATTTCTTTTCTGTTTGATGACCTTCCCTTTTAAATGTCATGTTTCACTAAACAGTCGTTATTATGATTTTCCTACATGTTAGTCATCTCTGGATTTTGATATTTCAAGGCTTTATCATCATTGTCCAACCTGAAAGTAGTGAAACAGCTGCATGATGCATTTTAGTTCATTCTGTTACTATAAATAGACTGTATGAAAGTCTAGATATTCATTGCGATTTTGTGGCCAGAGGGTTCCAACTGGAACTTTGCTAATGACCAAGCTAATGATTCTTTCACGGAATAGTTCTGATACACTGTAACACTGGTAAAATGTTCACATTATGCTTATCAAACCCTTTTGATATTTTTTCATTAACATAATACAATCATCCTCACATTAGACCTTTCTATGGAACGACGTAATCATTAATCGACCTTGAATTCTTCACTAACACACACACACACACACAAATCAACCTCAGAATCCTACAACAGGCAACCATTGAAACATCTCGTAGTCGGAAACACTGGGCGGAAAGACGTTTTCAGCATCCATAATGAAAAAAAGGACGCGGGAGTTCTTCTTTTGAATGTCCTTTTTATCAATTCATGTTGTAAATCCTTTCATTTCTTCATTATCCTAACTCCCAATGTTGCATAATTCATATTGTAGAAAATATTTTCACTGTCGATGAAATCTGGTTGCATGATTTTATAGACTGTGGATAAGGTAAAAACATATGATCATTCTCATTCACCATTCTCTGTCAAGATGTCGGCGTTGTGTATTTTTTCCAATGTCCATATGACTTATAACTCTGTGTGAGACAAACGAAAAAAAAAAAACCTGTAGTGAGAGATGACCCTTGACGCCCACTTCGCATTACTGATGGTAATCAATTATCTGTTACCAACGGATGCCTCTGGGACTGATATATTTGGTCGGTTTATGAAGGTGTCCTCATTTAAAGAGTTAGGGAAATGCATAGAATTCCTCGACACAAACCAGCTCGCCGCTGCCAACCTTAATAAGGCAACACATTTCATAATCAGCCTCAATCAGTGCCTAAAAACCCATACTAATAAGTGAATTATTCGTCACTTCTACGATACCGTGGATTTGTAGATAAATAATAATAACCTTCCTAATGCTGGAAATTGCGATCAAATGAAGAGTGTATTTAAAGCATATGATATTGTTTTGAGAAGAATTGATATCAAAGATGTATCCTGCATACATAGATTTTGATTGATTTTTATAACTTGGGAAATGAACAAAATGTGAAGGCCGATGAGGAAGGGGTTCGGTTAAGGCCAGTTATATTGTACTAACAAAAGGAAGTCCAAACGTATCAATCGAATCTCAAATTCGATTCAAATTTGATTAGAGTAAGAATATGCGAGATTACATGGTCATTGATTGGTGTAAACCGTCAGACGCTTGTTACGATAAACACATTATGATACATCAAACGGAAAGATGTTTGAAAGAGAGATACAAACAATCCGTGCATTACTGTGCTGATCAACTGTAACCAGCTAGAGTATGGATAGAAAAGCACGTCATTTTTTTCTTATCCGTTTCATCTGTTGTCGGTATAAGTGTTCATACTTTTGTCTTTGTGTTTCTAGTGCAAAGATTTTAAACCAATTTCTGGATGGTATGTACAAACCATCCATAATTCGACGTTCAGTTGTAAATCATCAGAAACATTGTGGTATATGTTAAGCTTATTATAAGAAAGTCTCAATCAATGCGGAGAGTGCTAAATCGTATATAAAAGAAAATATCTATATCCTTACAAAATTCAACAAGTCGACGAAATTATGACAAAATAAGAACAAAAAATATTTAAATGAAGGGCCGAGAAAAAAAAGACAGAAAAAAATAATAATAATAAGATCAGATGAACAGAAGTTCTGATAACCGGTAGACTTTTATTGACATTACCACTCTGAAGAAAATGTTCTGAAATATAGAATAAGACCAGGTGTTCTGGAATGGTAACTATCAGCTGCTTTATCGGTGACATCCGCTATGGAGACCCTCCGAGTAGGTAATTCACATTCTCATATGAAAACAGGTTTAACAACAACGGAACCACCAGGCAAACTAACACGTATAAAACATATCCAGCTTCATACCCTAAGGAATTGAATATTTCTCGATAAAATCACTATGCCCGTAAAACTTTTGCATAATCTTCAACAACCTACCTGCATCTCTCGAAGCCCTGTTGTCTGTGAGTTGTCTACATCTTGCAGTATAAGTCTCTAGGCGGGATATCTCTATGATACTATCTAGTCTGTGATTCCGAAAGAGGTCATAGGACGTCTGACTAATGTAAATATTATAGTTCTCCTGTCAGACACCAGACAATGATTTTTATGCCGTCCCCACCGATAAGGAATAATGTTATCTTTGTAATAATTCACAAATTGATTTGTGAACCATTTAATGTGCAGATCTATTGAGAACATTGCCCTCATCGAGAAGGACGGAAGAACTATACTTTATATAATTGTATCTATTTATTATCCAACACTTACTTATCTACTATTGAGTTATTGAACATTTCTCTCATTACTGGTAAACACGCTCTGTTGAGGGACTTTTTATCTACAATTCAAATTTCACCAGTTTTTATCTAAATAACAAGGTTTGATTTCCTTCCCTGTTTTGATATGTGCATCATATTTTTCCTGATTGATTTCCACACTTCCTGACCCTTGTACTCCAATGAGATCTAGTTGTTCGAAACAGCCGTATGATTCAGTCTTATCTTTATTTTCGTATGTGTATTTGTTTTGTGTTTTTGGTCAATCATTTGAAGTTAACATGCAAATGCGTTTGTGATTGACGTTTGAAATGGTTCTAATGAATTCGTGATGAACGAACACGTGTTATGGCTGTGATGCGGTTCGTTTGATCACCGCAGTATATAACGAAAAATCTAAATAAATTAAACGCCAACAGGAAAAACACTTAGGAAGATAGAATCGGTGGGGAAAGTGAAACTGCAACGGCTTTACAGTATGACAACAGAACATATTTTATCTCTTCGCATACACGCGTTCCTCAGAGGGCTCATTTTAAGTCGACTCTGACAATCGTTTGTAGAAAATTGTACAAAAGCCACACAAGTGAATTGCAACTTCGATATAGATTCAGAATTATATACCGTAGAGACAAATAATGAATAGAACTTAAATACAGCTGTTTCGTTCATCTAGGATGCTAAAGGCATAAGATTAAAAACCTGTGAGGCTATAAGGGAACTCAAAATTGATCGAGAAAAATGTACAAAAAAAATGAGATTAAGAGGTGTACTAAGGTTAAGACTAAAAACTAATTAGTTTGTAATCATCGACAAATTTACATTTCAAAACACCGTAGATTTTTTATATGATAAACGGAATGATATGACAATGAACAAATCTGGCAAATAAAATATCAATATAAGTCTCAAGAATATTTTACTTTGTTTTACTCTGTGTCTCCTGAATGTGATAATATTTTACTCTGAGTCTCCTGAACCTGATAATGTTTAACTCTGAGTCTGATAATGTTTAACTCTGAGTCTGATAATGTTTTACTCTGAGTCTGATAATGTTTTACTCTGAGTCTCCTGAATCTGATAATGTTTAACTCTGAGTCTCCTGAATCTGATAATGGTTTACTCTGAGTCTCCTGAATCTGATAATGTTTTACTCTGAGTCTCCTGAATCTGATAATGTTTTACTCAGAGTCTCCTGAATCTGATAATGTTTTACTCTGAGTCTCCTGAATCTGATAATGTTTTACTCTGAGTCTCCTGAATCTGATAATGTTTTACT